TTTTTTTTTTTTTTTTTTGAGACAGAGAGAGATTGTGCTCTGGGGCAGAGAGATAGAGGGAGATAGGATCTGAAGTGGACTCTGTGCTGACAGCAGACAGCCCCAACCGGGGCTCAAACTCAGGAACTGTGAGACCGTGACCTGAGCCAAAGTCGGAAGCTTTACCGACTGAGCCCCTCAGGTGCCCCGCCGTCTTACCCTTCCAGGTTTTATATAAATTCCCGTTGACAGTGCAATACTAGTTTCAGGTGTAGAATTGAGCGAGTCAACACATACTTACACCTGGTGCTGATCACAACACGTGTATGCCTTCATCCCCATCACGTGTCTCCCCCGTCCCCCGCCCCCGCCTCTGGTAGCCATCAGTTTGTTCTCTATAGTTAAGAGTCTGTTTCTTGGTTTGCCCCTTTTTTTCCTGAGCCCCCTCCCCCTTTGTTTCTTAAATTCCACACATGCGTGAAATCATACAGTATTTGTCTTTCTCTGACTGGTTTATTTCACTTAGCATAAGCCTTTCTAGCTCCATTCACATCAGATCCCAAAATACTGATTCAAAGGGCCAGAGGCACCCTGGCGCTGACAGTGGTGCTATCCACAATAGCCAAATTACGGAAGAGCCCGAATTCCCGTGGACTGACGAAGGGGTAAAGAAGATGTGGTGTATGTACTACGGACTATTACTCAGCCATAGAAAAGCTCTTTCACTGTTTGCAGCAATGCCGTCTCTTACAAGCTGTGCCAGGTGGCCCTCCCTCCCAGGGCATTCGGCCAGACGCTAGTCCCCACACTGCCCCGGACCAGCCTCGGTGATTCTTTCCTTTGTCCTGATCACCCATTGAAGCCTAGCTGGGGACTGGGTCTGCCTGCCTATCCCCTGGCGGCGGACGCAGGTCTGGAGCAGCTAGGTCTTCCGGGAACATGGGGGTGGGGGGAGCCCCGTGCCGAAGCCTCCCTTCCAGACCTATTTAACTTTAATCTGTCCTTAGCAAATGAGGTCGGTGCCTTGAACTGCTAGCTGCCGGGTTTGGTTGAGCTATCAGTTCTGACTAGCGTGTGATTGTCATGACTGCATGTGATTTTAGCCCCCAGCAACTGGTTTGGGGACCTCCCCCCACTCATCTGTGACTCAACCTTTCTCAATCCCTGCATCAGCCTGGCTGCGGGTTTTATGCTTGACACTTGGCCCGGGCCATGTGACTTCCCTGCTCCACTGGCATCGGGGGGAGTGTGGCAAGGCCTGTGAGACTTGCTGGCTTTGGGGCTCCAGTAGCCCCTCCCCCACCCAGCGCTCCAGGTGATTCTCACGCACACCTCCGAGGGCTCAATGATTCTGATGATTCTCCCATGTCAGCGTGGGTTGGCATCTTTCTGGTTAACCCTTCCCAACACTGTCTCCCATTTTTTCTGGGTGGGGAGTAGCACCTGCTGTGGACAGGAGCTGTGCTAACTGTATCTGGAAAGGCATGGCCAAATGGCCTCACAAGGTCGCCAGTGGTCCTTGAGCCGGGTTGCCATTTCAGTTGGTAATCCTTACTTTTCTTTCCTTCCTGGCAGGTATCTGTACCACGTTTTGACCAAAAACACCACAGTCACAGAACAGAACCGGAACCTGCTAGTGGAAACCATCCGATCCATCACCGAGATCCTGATTTGGGGAGATCAGAATGACAGCTCTGTGTTTGAGTAAGGGTTTCCAATGTGTTTTGTTTTGCTTTGGTTTTCCACTCTCCTTCCTTTGAATAGTTTTCTAAATGTATCCCATGAGTCATCCCTGACGGCGTCAGGATTTGACACCATTCTGCTCTTGCGCAGATATCTATCTATACCTCTGTCCCTACAGAATGTCCTTGAAACACTGGAGAAATGTAAGCTGAAAACAGGGAAGGGAAATGAGTGTTTCTCCAGAGATCTGAAAATATCATGGATAATTTTCCAAGTAGGGTCTGACAGGCTCCCCACAGGGGAGAAAAGGTCCCAGGAAGTTAGCTTCACAGCGAACAGAGAGGGCCCTGCCCTAGGGGGACGCGAAGGGCTCACACTCAGTGTGTTAACTGTTGGGCAGGCTCAGTGCTGAGCTCTCTGGGAGCTAATCTCAGCCTCCCAGCTGCCCTGGGTGGAGGCCTTGCTGTCCTGTGTCCTCAGCGTCCCCATTCATCTCAAGTCACTCTGTGGGAGGCAGGCAGGCAGCAGCTCACACCCAGAGCCCACGGAGGGCTTTCTCCTTGTTGGCGCACTTCGTGGATGCGCGGTTGTAGGCCAGCCTCGGTTTCCTCATCCTTAAAGGAGAGAAGGTTCTTGCCTGCTGCCTGGTACAGAGGAGGCACTAAAGAGGGACTTGGGTTACGACAACCAGCACACACAGATTCTATGTTCATATAAAATAATCTCAACTGTAGGAACTGCGGCCACTTAAAAAGCTCCTTTAGAACAAGTAAAGGGGTTCCATTTCCAGCCTGGGTTACTAGATAATCTGGTTTCCAGAGTGCTCTCTGTCTTCATCAGTAGGGCTACTTAAGATAGTGCTACTTGTGGAAGATGCCAACCTGTGACAGTGGCCTTCTCCCCAAAGGGAAACGGGTACAGAGCGGGGCGGTGCCTGCAGAGGGGACTGGCTTCATCTCAGGACGCACGGGGAACTGCCTGGCCGGCCGGTGTCTGTTATGGGGATGAGAAAGACCCCTGGGTTAAAGGTCAGGGACCGCATCCCCCGCTGCTAGAGTGGGCTTTCTGAGCCTATCGGCCATTGCAGAACACCGGTCCTGTGAATCCTAAGTGGCCCCCAGTAGAGTGCCCAGGAGAGTTTGTTTCTAATCCATTTCTTTTAGAATAACTTTAGATTTGTGGAAAAGTTGTAAAGATAGTACAGAAAGTTCCCAAACACCCTTCACCCCGTTTCCCCCACTGTTCATGTCTTATATGATGGGGGCTCACTTGTCAAAACTGAGAGGCTAACCTTGGTTCGTTCCTGTAGTAGACCCCAGAGTTGGTTTGGATTTTGCCAGTTCTTCCATTAAGATCCTCTTCTGCCCTAGGAACCCAGTGCAGGCTCTCAGGGTGCTGTGAAGTGTCACCCCTCCCCAGGCTCCTCTGGTCCATGACTGATTTCCAGCCTTCTCTTGTTCTCAGGAGAAACCCTTGATGTCTTTGAGAAGTGCTGGCCGTTCCTATAGAATCCCCCTCCCCCCATCTGGGTTTCTGTGATGTTTTTCTCATGATCAGCCTGGGGGTCACGGAGAGGAACAACTAACAAAATGTCCGTCTCAGCCCGCATACCAGCAGCCGTCCTGCCCACCTGCGCTGTAGTGCCGTTAACTCTGATTGCTTGGTTACAGCGGTGTCTGCCAGGTTTTTCTACCGTAAAGGTACCTTTTCCCCATTCCCTACACCGTCTTTGAAAGAGTCACTCAGTTTAGCCCACCTGGGGTTTGGAGTTAAGCTCCACCTTCAGGAAAGGGATGCGTATCCACATACATTATTTGAAATTCTGTGTGGAAGATTTGTCTCTTCTCCCCATTTATTTTTTCAGTGAGTTATTGTATGTTTAAGAAACAGACTCTTTTTTTAAAAAATACTTATTTTGAGAGAGAGAAAGAGAGAACCAACGTGAGCAGGGGAAGGGCAGATAGAGAGGGAGAGAGAATCCCAAGCAGGCTCTGTGCTGTCAGCACAGAGCTCAACGCGGGGCTCAGTCTCACCGTGAGATCGTGATCGGAGTCAAAATCAAGAGTCGGATGTTTAACTGACCGAGTCACCCAGGCGCTCCAGGCCTTTATTTATATCAATATGGGCTCATGGTGTTTATTTTACACTTTGATTGTTAACAAGCCCCAGAGTGGACATTGTGCTGCAGTGAGCCTCTTGGGTGAAACCTGGGAGTCGCTGATTTCTTCATCCTGAAGCAAAGGACGACAAAATGGGTCAAATGATAGAAATATTCTTGGGATCGGCGTGATTGGCATTTGTAGGCAGACGGGCTCCCAGGATCAGAATTGGATAAGGTTTGAGGTCTTGTTTTCTCAGGTCATGTTTACATACTCACTTGCCCTTCCAGGAATTCAAACAGCGTTTGTACGGCACTGAGCAGGCGCCTGGCCCATGGTCCTGCCACTGTGGAGCTGAGAGCCGAGGGGAAGGAGACCCTCCGAACCAAGTGACAGACACATGTGACTATAGGGACCTGTACTGAGTGTCCCAAGTGAGAGGTTACCTGGTCCTAGCCTGCATCCAGAGAACACATAGCTAGAAAACCCCACTTTCTTCCTTTAAAGAAAAAGGGATTAGGGGCTTCTGTCTCCCTTTCAAGACTAAAAGAGCCAACGTGTGCCCCAAAAGTCAGTGTTCCCGGGCTGCCTGCAGACAGCTGTCCTGTCCAGAATAAGAGAGGCAGAAGCAGACCTAGGGACCGACTAGGGTCCCCCTGCCACCTCAGCCCCTTAACTTCCCTCCAGTTCTTTTTCCCTGGATTTGGAAACCCATATTCTTCTACGATTTAGGTTTATTTTGCCCCGGGTCAGGGAATTCTGGTTGTTAGTAACAGTCAAAGGTACGGAGGCAAAGCATATAGAGAATCGGACAGAGAATGCTGCCCGTCAGCTTTCCAAGCACAGGTAGATTACTGTGCGATCACTTGGTCGGTAAAGACCTTCCCCCTTCTGTAGGAATCGGGGTCATGGCTTCCCAGGATCAGCCCTGTGCTCCGGTTCTGGGGTGAGAGCATGAGCGGCTGCATTTTGTGGTGCGGAGGGTGGCATCGTGGGAGCGGTGCGGCGAGGAGCCGGGACCCTGCAGGCCGTGTGGTGTGGCTGCTCCCAGGACACCTTTGGGGGCGGGGGGCGGTGCACGTGTCCGGGGAAGGACTCGGAGTCCCACGTGTAGAAGCAGACCTCTGATGCTTTCCCGTTCTCTCCCCAGCTTCTTCCTGGAGAAGAACATGTTTGTTTTCTTCTTGAACATCCTGCGGCAGAAATCTGGCCGCTACGTGTGCGTTCAGCTGCTGCAGACCTTGAACATCCTCTTTGAGAATATCAGTCACGAGACCTCGCTCTGTAAGGACGCTCCCTGACACCTGCCCCCTCACTGCTGAGCTCTGGCGCCGTGGAGTTTGGCGGGGTTTTTCGTGGTTGCGTTTTGAATGTCTGGGCTTACTGTGCATCTTATGGCGCTCAGGCTGCTGTAACAAAATGCCCCAGACCGGGTGACTTAGACAACAGAAATTTGTTTTCTCCTAGTTCTGGACGTTAGAAGTCCAAGATCAAGGTGCCGTCAGGGTTAGTTTCTGGTGAGGCCTTTCTTCCTGGTTTGCAGATGACTGTCTCTTGTGGTGTTGTCACATGGCCTTTCTCCTTTGTGTGTGTGTGTGTGTGTGTGTGTGTAGTGAGTTCTGGTATCTTTTTCTTTTATAAGGGCACCAGCCTTTGATCAAGGCCCCACTGTAGGACCCTGTTTAACCTTAATTACCTCCTTAAAGCTTCTGTCTCTAAATATAACATATTCCCTGTGTTAACTTTGGGGGCATGGAGTTCATTCCCTAACACCGTGTTTATCCCTGCGTGGTGGGTACCGGGAGGGGCTGTGAGGGCTCCCCTCTGCCGAGTGGTTCTGGGCTGTTCACATTCTTTCTTCATAACTTGTTGGGGTCACTGAATAACCAGCCAACAGGGATGGGCCTCTCTGGCTCGCCAACTTGTGCATGTTTGACAAGGTACCTTTGATGCGACCATGGCCAGGTGGGCACGAGTTACTGCCACACATGGTAAGCGACCTTTTGCTGCAACATCATGGGAGGACACGAAGAAGGGGTCCTTTGAGGGAGAAGCCCACCAAAGAGTAAACGACTTCAAGCCAGGAGGCTCTTTGTTAAAAATGATGCGCTCCAAGCAAAATTAAAAAAAGAAGAAAAAGAAAAAGGAGTACTTAAATAAAGATGTAAGCGGATTCCTAGAATACCTAGCACAAAACTCCCAGATGGTTCATAATGGGGAGGTGATAGCAGCCTTCTGGAGGTGAGGGAAGAAATTGCAGCTGCTTTTAGAAAAGAAGTCAACGAAAAAGACCAGCAGCAAAGAAAAATGCAGTGGTAGCTTTCCACTGTAGGAAACCTGCCCGTTGGATTGCAGGTGGCTCAGCCGCCCTCGAGACTCAAGATTCGGGTGCTGGAGCATGTTACCGGTGGGGCCACAGAGCGTGGAATAGCCCAGCGCGGAGCCGGAGGAGACCCAGCTCCTGGTGGCTTTCCTTGTGCGGAGTGTTTTGTTGGAGAGATGAGGCAGCTGCCCGGATCTGGTCCTCCTAACCCCAGAGGGCTCCCACCCGATGGTGGTTGCTATAGACTTCGTTGCTGGTGGTACAGTTAAGGAGGGATTGCCCTGAGGGTCAGAAGTCCCATCGAATAGTCCCACTTGGCCGCTGGGCAAAGGCAAAGAGTGCGGGTTATGAAGGAATTGTGGATGTGCCTGAACCACAGAAACCCAAAACAAAGATCCCTAAAGTTGTTAATTTTAGTAAAGATCAGTACTCTTGTTACTGACCGCCTCATTGCTGGCCATTCTGGACGGGCCTACTTCGCAAATCAGAGCTGGGCCCCCTTGGGGACCCGTGTAGTAGACGCCAGTACGATCTGGGCACCGTCAGATAGCTTCCCGAGTGCTGTCCATTAAAGGGTGGTTGTATCCCTGGAGAAAATCACTAAAGAAAGTAGATGTTAAAACTGGATTCTCTAAAGGAACATTTTTAACAGACAGAACTGAAGGATAACTATGTGGTTATATGCTGGATTGGAACAGTCGTCTTTTTCTAAAAAACTATACGTTCATGTGAACCACCCCTCAACAAAGTATAACTGACCTGTGTTTGGAAATGAAGTTGTGGTTTTAGTGTTTTCTTGGTTCAAAACATCAATCATTGTATTAGGAATTTCTAAAAGGTGCCACAGAATCTACTGTATTTTTAAATATTTGATGAAAACTTTGCTATTAAAAAAAAAAATCATCAGACAGCAGAATAGGCCCTGGAGGCAGCAGAGTGAGAAGAGCCCAGGAGCAAGCGAGGGCGAGACTGAGCTTCCTCTCTGCATCCCTGAGCCCAGGCTCTTCCTGGGAAACAGCGCCCTGGGGGACAGTGCTGCGGGCGCCTTCCCTTCCTCGCGTCTGGAGCCCGTGGTGACCACCATCACAGTGCCCGAGTCCAGAAGGGGTTTCAGTCCAGCGGCGTTAGTTCGTCGTCCACAGCCAGGGGCGACTGTGCCCCAGGAGGACATTTGTCAGTGTGTGCGGACATCTCGGTCATAACGGGGAGGGGGGCGCTGGGGGTGCTGTTAGCATCTGGTGAGTGGAGTCCTGGGATGCTGCTAGCCATGACCGCGCAGGACAGCGCCCCGCAGTAAAGGGCTGTCTAGCCCCAAGTGTCAGCAGAGCCCAGCGTGAGAAACCTCGGTTTAGCTCCTAGTAAACTTGACTGCTAGCTTTGTTATTCCAGGGTGACTGCAGCGAGCCCCAGGCCCTGCCGCCAGTAGTAGGGGAGACAAGTGACCGGATGTCTTTGTCACAAGCAGGCTCTAGGTCCCCAAGAAGGGTTTAGGGCAGGTTTCTGGTGAGTGGGGGGAGGCCAGGACGGGGGCATTCCTCCTGAGGAGGAAGCGGGGCGAGGCGGGAACCGGCTGCCAAGTAGTGGCTCTTGGAAGTGGCCACTAGGTGGTGCTGCTGCCCCAGGAGCCTCTGCTGACGCTTCCCGATGAATGAATGGGAGTTGACAGATGCGAGTTGACTCACTCTCCTTAAGTGGTTTCCCGTGCTAAGAGCTTGTGTTACCCTGGATATGAATTGTGTGTGGTTTCTGAAAACTCCGAGGGGGGAAGGCCCAGCTCGGGGGTGTGGCCCTGGACTCTGACCCACCAGGTCCCGGGCCGGGCTCTGCCAGATTCGCCCTGTGTGTGGGGTGAGCTTTCTTCTCCGGGCTGCAGTTTCTGCCTCTGTGAAGCAGACTCGTGTCTGGGGAATGGGGTGGTCTGAGTACTAAGTGTGGCCGTGGGCGTGCGGAACATATCGTGGGGCCTGGCAGATGGAGGCGTCCAGGCGGACTGGTTTTATCATTAAATCCAGCGTTCCCCCAAATGTCTGTTCTCCAGTAACCCTTCCTGAGCCCAGCTCGCCCCAGGGCTACTGGATTGAAGGTGGGGGCTGGGGCAGTAGGAAATGTGGAGTTTCTGGATCACATGGCTTTCCTGAATTAGTACTAAGAAGGGTACCGTGCGGTGAGCAACGCAGGCAGAAGCCCCCATCTTTACGAGGAATTCACCACAGTACTTTTATAAGCCCCACAAAAGCGGCCGACATCACTGCCCTTGACAGAACTTTGATTTGTGGAGGTGAGGAAGACATGTGACTTTTGCTTTTATTTTTATTTTCCAATTACAGAAAGAAAATACCCGGGCTATAAAACAGCAACAACAGAAATCAAGTGCTGTTAGGATATAGAAAGCACAAGTTCTGCAGAGCCTCACCCTCCCAGTTGGGTGGACACAGAGCATTCTGCCGTCTGCTTTGTGTCTTCCCCACGCGCTCATGTATCTCAGATGCTCATACACCCCATTCACATGTCCTCACTGAGTTGGGTTGACTAGCGGCATCTCGCTGAGCCCCGAGCGACTGAACTTGACCACGGGCATTTAGGTGGTTTCCGGATTTTCACTATTACCAGCAGCCATTTCACAAGTGCACCTGTTGCCCGTCGCGTTTAGGGACCTAAGTCACAGCAGGCCTGAGAGACTGAGATTACGTAGAGACTCCTGGGTTGATTAGAAAAGGATACCACAGAAAGTCGGCCACACGGTGAGGGGGTAGTGGAAAAATCCCAACCGAATAATAGAGGCACCGTGGTTGCCCCCATGGTGGCCCCCGGCACCCACGGAGTCATCGTGTGGAGGCCCTGGAAAAGTCCCCACTGGGGAACAATTGGAGCGTGTGGCTTTTCCAGCTCGGGGACTCAGCTGACCGGCTCATGGTTGTACATCTGAAGCTCTGGGCAGAGGTGCCTATGCCTCTGGTGGCCCAGAAGCCGCCACCAGTCACAGGGAGGCTCCACAGGCTGTCTCTGTGCTCCCTTGTCCTGCTAGCTGACGCATCCCCAACCATGGCCAGGATGACAGCGTAAAAGAGAAGGGCTCTGGGCATCAGCATCACCTGGGCTGCTCGTTACAAGTGAAGGTTCGAGGGGGTCAGATGGTCGACTGAAGAGGAGAGTGCTGTACGGCAAAGCGGAGTGAAGGAATGCCCTGTTAGCACCGTGTGCGGCAGTGTGGGTAACTCTCAGGTGTGGTGACGAGGGACAGAAGCTGGGCACAGTCTGCATGTCATATGATCCATGGGGATGAAGTTCAGGAATAGGCAGGGGCGCCTGTCGCTTGGGCGTCCGACTTCGGATCAGGTCGTGATCTCATGGTTTGTGAGTTGGACCCCCACGTTGAGCTCTGTCCTGACAGCTCGGAGCCTGGAGCCTGCTTCCGATTCTGTGTGTGTCTCTCTCTCTGCCCCTCCCCCACTCATCCTGCTCTGTCTCTCTCAAAAATAAATAAATATTAAAAAAAAAAAAAGAAATAGGCGAAATGAGTCTTTGTGATCCCAGGTGAACTAGCGCTTGCCATTGGGGAGAGGGTATTGAGTGGCAGAGCTATCAGGGAGCCTTCTGGGGAACGAGAAATAGGCTCTGTCTGACCTTGATGATGCTGACGTGGTGGATAGATTTACGAAAATTCATCAAGCTGGACCTCCACCACGTGCGAAATGTGTGTATACATAAATAAGCACGTAGGTGCATGGCCTTCGTATCCACACGTACACACATTTCCACACAGACTAAGCTGTGATCACACTTAAAATCTGTGATCCATGTAACCTCAATTTTGAACAGTTAAGAATTGTTGATTTTTTTTAAATGTTAAAAATTGTTGATTTAAAGAACATGTTTTCTAAGTCGGCAGTGAAGTCAGTTAAGACCCTTAGGGCGCCCGCCCCAGACCCGCCGCCTTCTCTCGGAGCCGGCCCCCGGATTCGCCTCAGGAGCTATGAGAACCCGGAGACCCCCAGAGCCCTTCTGGGGCTACAGACTTGAGGAAGGCCGAGGACACCCAGTGTCCTTGGCGGGAGGCAGCGGCTTTCCCGGGGAGCTGGCTTCCGCCACCACACTTCTCGGGGCCCTGTGCTCCTGGATGGCCCTTCGGGGTGTGCGAGGTGACGTCCGCCTTTCCACTAGTACTTTGATTGGTTTACATTGGGTACCTCTTTGGCACCAAATAGTGGTTTATTTGTTTATTTTTTTAAGTTTATTTTTTGAGAGAGAGAGAATGCAAGCGGGGAAGGGCAGAGAGGGAGGGACAGAGGATCCAAAGCAGGCTCCGCACTGTGAGCACAGCGCCTGAGGCGGGGCCCAGACTCACGAGCCATGAGATCATGACCTGAGCCGAAGCCACCCAGGTGCCCCTGCGGCTTAGTTCCTTTCCCCCCCATCGAGAGCACCCGTGTTCGGGCCGCGTGGCTGGAGGCTCCACGCGGTGGTGCTAGGTGGAAGGTGTCCGCCATCCTTACTGACTGCTTTGTGCCCCCCGCTGCCCTTGGAACTTCATTTCCTTTCACCCTCGAAGCAGCACCCCCCCCCCCGCCCCGGAGGAAGGCACTGTGCTTAGACGGGGAAAGTGGGGAGCAGAGAGGCTGAGTGGCTTTCCCAGGGTCACCCAGCTGGGAGGTGGCAGGGGTGGAGTGGACCCAAGTCCCCTTCGAACACAGTGCTTCTGGCTCCTTAACACCGAGTGTGCCGGGTCCACCCCAGAGATCTGAGTGGGTGGCCGGGCCGGGGCCCAGGCTGCCGTGTATCTGACAAGCTCCAGATGACGCTGGGCCTCGGGTTCAAGGACCAGACATTGAGTCGCAAAGCTTCAAGCGACTCGGCTCCACTCTCTTACCACATCTGCCTGTAGGTGCAGAGGTTGGTCCCGTTCTGCCTTTAACCATCTGGGGGTGGGTCAGATCTCACAGGCTGGCATCCGGGGGGCAGCACCTGCCTTGCAGCGTGGCTGGTGAGGGCTCAGAGACGTGTGTGGGAAGGACGTGAGGCCAGGACCGCGCACCGCAGGCGGCCGCTGGCCTCTGGGCCTGTTTTTGCCTCCAGCTCAGCTTTAAGAACCAGATGATCGAGGGGCCAGCATGTAAGTCGGGAGAGGCCGCATTCACATCTGTTTTCCAGTCCCTAGAACACTGGGGGGCTCTCAGGGTGCTGGGCCTGCATTTCTGCGGGGGCTGGGGGCAGGGAGGGTTGGCCCCAGGGCCTCAGGATCTCGGCACCCAGATGTCATCCCTGGCCCCCATGGGTGCGTGCTATTAACACAGGCTCTGACATAGGACCTGCCTTAAATCCCGTCTCTGTGACCGGCTGTCTCTGTGACCTCTGGAAAGTTAATCAACCTCTCTGAACTACTTTACTCTTCTGCGGCATGGGGAGAATGAGACCCACTCCACAGGATGGCCATGACGACACTGGAAAGCACTCAGTCTGGTGCTGGGCCCCCCGTGGAGGTTTCACATGAAGTAGCTGTTATGAAGTCATGCTGCTTTCAGGGAAAGAAAATGTAGCTCCCTGTAGCATCCAGGGATGACAGGGTGACTCTTGGTGGCAAAATGGAGCAGCTTTTAATAAAACACGGTGGTTTTTACCCTTACCCATGGGTGGTTTGTGAAAATGCCCACGCAGCCACATGCCTGCCCTACCCCCGGCTCTGTGATCGACTTTGCCAGCACCAAAAAAAGTTCAGATGTTTTTTTCTGTTGGGTGTAGGAGGGAGGGGTAGTCCAGGCCCTTCTCTCTCATGGCTCTTGACCTTTCTTGGGGCTGCACATAGCGGCTGGTTGGTTTCTTGCTGGAAAAAGGTAAAGCTGCTCCCTGTTGGCTTGTTAAGCCCTGGTGACCCAGAATCCTGAGGGGTTCAAGTACATTCATCCATTACCTGACTTTGTCTCCTTGACTTTCCTCCGGTGTAAATTAACCTGTTTTCCTTTTTTTTTTTTTTTCTCTCTCCCTCTAGATTATTTGCTCTCAAATAACTATGTAAATTCTATTATTGTCCATAAGTTTGATTTTTCCGATGAGGAGATTATGGCATATTATATATCATTCCTGAAAACGCTTTCGTTAAAACTCAACAACCACACCGTCCATTTCTTCTACAACGAGGTAAGTAACTGCCAGAGGGGTGTATCTGGGTGGAAAGCCAGCCGGTTGGGGCAGCACCTTCGGCCCGGGCAGCCTTGTGCCTGTTTACAGGGCACTTGGGTGCTCCCCACTTCCTGATTCCTTGTAGCAGCGCTGTTTGACCTTGACATGCTTAAAAAAATTTTATTTTTCTTTTTGAACTTAAAAGCCACCTCTCTGTTTTTAACATAAAATTCAGTTTGTGCTGCTGGGAACGCTGCATTTTCAGCAGGAAGGAGTGCCCGAAAGTGAACTTGGGATTGAAATGCAGTCAGACCCAGCTTTGCCACTTCCCTGCTGTGTGACCTTAGAGAAGTCCCAGTTCCCTGAGCCTCAGTTTCTTCCTCTGAGAAAGGGGATGGTGATTTACACCTTGAAGGATTCTCCAGGGAGTGAATGAAGTGAGACGATGTCTTCAAAGCCCCTAGTATGTACCTGCTCCTTAAAATCGTAGCCACTGCTATTCTTCACAAGCAAACGTCCCTGGTATTCCTTGGGAGAATTACTAGCAATTTCAGTAAATACATTGCTGCTGTTTTCACGGTGAAAAGGAGCTTGATGAGCTCAGTTTATCTCGTACCGGAAGGTACAGATGCTGGCTGTCCTGGGGCTGATCCGTCTTATTGCACAGCCACTTCACTGAGGACCCGGGCTTTCTCCTCTTCCCGCTCTGCTGACTGCACAGTGGGCAACCGTCCTTGGGCTCGACCCCTCATGGTCTCAGGATGGCTGCAGCGGCTCCAGACATCACAGACTCACATGCCGCTGCCCCAAAACCAGAAGAGGTCACTTCCCTTCTTGTGTTCCTTTCTAACTTCCAAATGCTTCCTTCCCGGAAGCCCCCCAGCAGACTTCCTCTGTGTCTTCCTGGTCAGAATCGTGTCACAGTTCTCGCGCGGTGTGTCTTTGGGAGCAGCCTGGCAGGGCAGCTCCGGCTTGGTATTTCAGGGGCCAGTCTTGTGAAAGTTGGGTGGGGTTGGGAGAGCTGCCTCCAGGGAGGCTCACCCACGTGGCCCACCTGTTGATGCTGGATGCTCGCCATGGGCGGGAGGCCTCCATTATGTGGGCTTCTCCAGTGGCGGCTGGAGTGAGCTCACAGCACGGCGGCTGGTTTTCCCCAGAGCGAACACTCCAGGAGACCAAGACGAGGCAGCCTCGGAGGCCACCTTCCATCCTTTCCGCCATCCTACTAAGGTCACATAGGCCAGGCGCGAGTCCGTGCGGGAGGGGATGTCAGTGTGTGAACATAGGATGTGAGGGCCGTCGGACCGTGCTGGAGGCCCGCTGCCCCACAGCCAGGGGCTGTTTGCATGGCGGGTGTCTCGTAGTTATTTAGTTTATTTATTGACTTTGAGAGGGAGCAAGAGCAGGGGAGGGGCGGAGAGAGGGAGCGAGAGAATCCCAAGCAGGCTCTGCGCTGTCAGCACAGAGCCTGACATGGGGCTCGAACCCACAAAATGCGAGATCGTGACCTGACCCGAAACCCAGAGTCAGACGCTTAACCGACTGAGCCCCCCAGGTGCCCGGATGGCAGGTGTCTTCTGACGGGTGGTCGCTGCACTGCCCGCCCTCTGTTTGCGGTCAGGTCATACTCTTGGACGTACCATCTGAGTCTGCCCAAAATCCATCCAACTGTCCCCACAGGATGCAGCAGCCACCCGGACCCTGATTTTCCTCCTCTAGATTCATAGTGGGGAAGGATTGGCCTCAGAGGGAAGAAATGCTAGCTGTCAACCACAGAAGGTGTGGCAGTTTGAAAAATCGACATGGTGTGGCCCGTGTCTGGCAGATAGCAGGTGCTCATTAAACGTGTCCAGAGACACGTAGATGAAATTTGTGTTGTCCCGGCGGCTCTCCCAGGTGGGTGAAAATCCACCCGTGAACTTCAGACCTGGCAGAGGGAACCTCCGCTCAGGTGCAGCTGGCCTTCAGTACGCAAGGGTGGGAGGGCAGGACTCCCGAGCGGTCCTTTGGAAGAACGTCCTTCTGGTCACCAGAGCTGCAGAGGCCTTATTTCTGAGGCGGGCTCTGTTTCCTCTTGTATGGGGGCCAGCACCGTAGCCACCACTTGCCATGCGGGCACTTCCAGCGCTCCGAGTGGCATCGCCCCCTTCCTTCAGTTCTCACATCGCTGTGGGCTGGCTCCTCTTCCCCACACTCGGGCCTTCCGGGACCCTCGGCGTGGCCCCGGAGCCGTGTGGGAAAACCGGCCAGAGGAGGGGAGCAGAGCCCGCCCTGCTTTCTGCTTCCCCGAAGGCACCAGCAGTGGAGGTCCCGGCTTCTGAACGGTCTCCATCCCTTCCCGTGATCCCCTTCTCGTGCCAGCAGCATCTCTAAATGGAGAAATGTGTAAGAGCCAGAAGAGATTCTGGATGTTAGGAACACTTCACACTTCGTGGAAGTGGCGTCTAATGGTAGCAAGTAGCCTGACGGCTGAGTGCTTGTTACGTGGGAGGGTCTGCGGTAGGCGCTGCCCCTGCGATCCTCGCGTCCGATTCCAGCGGCCATGCGGTGTGCGTTATTATCCCCATTTTAGAGATGAAGAAACAGAGGCTTAGAAATATTACAGCACACAGCTGAGAAGTGGTAGAACAGATCACAGGTCCCAGTCTGGCACTGTTGGGACCCCCCCCCCCCCGCCTTTTAAAAAAAATTTCTTCTAAGATGGTCTCGCCTCCCCACCCCTTCCCACGTTACCCTGGGAACGAACCATTTGCTTTAAGGTTCACAGGGGTAATATTTTTTCAGCCTTTTACTGAAGTCTGATAGGATTCAGAAAGCGGGGGCTGGGGGCAGGCCTGCCCTACGGGTTTGTAACGCACTTTTGGTACTTCTTTTGTTTTAGCACACTAATGACTTTGCCCTGTACACAGAAGCCATCAAGTTTTTCAACCACCCCGAAAGCATGGTTAGAATTGCCGTGAGGACCATAACCTTGAACGTCTACAAAGGTAAGCTTCCTTAGCAGCTCATGCCCTGTCGGATTTCCGACACGCCCGCTCTCATGGGTTGAGGTCTAAAGTTCCGGGGGGCGTGGGGGGCTCCATCATAACGCCTGGGGTTGCATGTCTCCCGCAAGGCTCATAATCCTTGAACACTGAACAGGCCCCTTAGATGAATTCTGTGCCACTCTCGTTGTGCACTCAGCTCTGCATGTTGAAGTCTTCACGCAGGTGCGCTAGAGATGTCCCAGCAGAGGCCCAGGCGGGACTCTGAGCAGCCGAGGGATAATTAGATCAGACAAAGCTGTCTTTTAAATGTTACATTTCCATGTTTGTGTTCCGGGCTGTAGGATAGATTTCCCTACAGCCCTGGCTTGGGGGGGTGGGGGTGGGTGGGTGTTAATCTTTAAGTAACATTTAAATGGAGCATTTCATGTCACAGACAGCAGGGGGCAGTATTGTATTCCCAGCCAACTGCACAGCCCAAGAAATCCTCCTCCTTTCAAGATGTGCTTCATGCCCACAACACCCCCTCCAGAGACGGCCCTGCGCGGGTTCCCGCCCGCATTGGCATGAAGGTTGGCTGGGCACAAGTTTCCTGGCCTGGCACTGCATTGGAGGGCCCGCCTTCTCTGCCCAACCCTGGGTTATTGCCCGGGAGTCACCACACTGGGGCTGGGACTGCCATGTCCTCAAGGAATAAAGGGCTTTGACCTTCATGAGTTTGAGTCATAATGTTATTCCTTGAGATGACCTGTTGTTGGGGGTGGGGAAAGGTCCTCACTCCAGCCTAGTTCTAGGATTTCATTAAATTGGAGAGTGTCTAAGAGCCCGGTGGGGGCCCACCCGGGGTCGCAAACTGAGGGCCTGAGAGCTGGATCCAGCCCTCGGACGTGCTCTGATTGGCTTAGGTATTCCCTGGAAAGGGGTCTGGTTGCCGGTATATAAACATCGGGAGATCTTGGGTAACGATCTGGATTTCTGACTTGACGGTAGAGATTTGGCCGTTCTGGGCCCAGAGCCCCGTAGAGCAGCCGTGAGCTGGTGCTGAGAACCTGGGGCTCCCCGGTTCACACGCTGGGCCCCCCGGCCTCACTCACAGAGTCACCGGCCCACCCAGCAGGCCTCTGAGTTTGCGCCCTGGTCGGGGCCCCAGTCCTGCCGCCCCTGCTCGCTCTCCTCTCTTGTTCTCTTCCTGCCTGTATCCTGAGACTCCTCTCGCTCTCTGTTCTCTGAGCAACTGCCTCGCCACCCGGTTCTTAACCCTGTTAACTGTTGTCTGTTTTTTGCCTTTCCTTCAATGACGATTCCCGTGTTCCTTATTCCAGTGTCATGTAAGTTATTAACTTCCGGTTTTCTGCTTTCTTAACTTATCCTTACATGTAAATACTCGAAACCTGCCCAATGATGGCACAGTTTCCATTGTAGTCAAGCTAGTGCATTGCCGAGTCAGTAGGCTTTCTAATTGCACTATCGAGGTTTAGCCCCATTAATTAATTGTATTAATTATACAAATAGCGTAAGAACTGCCTTGATGTGTATGGTTTCACGAATGAATAAGATCACCATTTTCAAGTATTCCCAGGAAAGACAGAAAAGGTTCAGATTATAGCAGAGAGCTTTTTCATTGTGGTTTTCTTTTTTCTTTTCTTTTCTTTTCTTTTTTTTTTGTTTAATCTCCCCAAGTTATTTTTGGTAGCTTGACTTTTTTTTCCTTGCTGTTTTGTGAATTTTCTCAGTGGATAACCAGGCCATGCTGCACTACATCAGAGATAAGACTGCGGTCCCTTACTTCTCCAATCTGGTCTGGTTCATCGGGAGCCACGTGATCGAGCTCGACAACTGTGTGCAGACGGACGAGGAGTAAGTGACCATGACTGCCCGGGGGCTGCTCCTGCAGACCGCGTGGTCGGGGGAGCTTTCCGTGCTCCCTGAGGAGAAGTGAGCACTAGAGCGAAGTTCACCCCCCGGGTGCAGGCGATGTGTGAACGGCCACACTGAAAGGTTCCTCCTGCCTTTCCACCGCTTTTAACAGTGCAGAGTGAGAATCAGCTCGCACACCTCCTGGCAGAGTAGGGCCAGCAAGCTCAGCTCGCCCACTGATGGGGTGCCGGGCGGCTGGTAAACAAAGACCACCCATCGCTTGCTGAGCGAGTAAACACAAGGTGGTGTTTGCAGATGGCCGCGTAGTGCCCGGGAGGGAGAAGGGGCAAAGTGCTGGCACGTGCTGTACTCTGGTTGGACCCTGGGAGCAGGAGGCTCCGTCAAGGAAGCCAGATGCCAAGGACCGCATTTTATGTGACCCTGTTTATTTTCCTTTCTTTTTCTTTTTATTAAAAAAGCTTTTTAGGGGCACCTGGGTGGCTTAGTCGGTTGGGCGTCCGACTTTCGCTTGGGTCATGATCTCATGGATCGTGGGTTCGAGCCCCGCGTCGGGCTCTGTGCTGACTGCCAGCTCAGAGCCTGGAGCCTGTTTCAGTCTGTGACTCCCTCTCTCTCTGACCCTCCCCTGCTCACGCTGTCTCTCTTTCTCTCTCCTAAAAATAAATAAAACATTAAAAAAATAAATAAATAAATAAGTTTTTTAAGGTTTTTTTTTTTTTGAGAGAGAGAGAGAGAGCGCATGTGCGCTTGAGCAAGTGTGGGTGGGGCCAAGAGAGGGAGACACAGAATCCAAAGCAGCTCCAGGCTCTGAGCTGTCAGCACAGACTCCTATGTAGGGCTCGAACTCATGGACTGTGAGATCATGATCTGAGCTGAAGGCGGACGCGTAACCGACTGAGCCACCCAGGTGCTTATTTTGAGAGAGAGGGAGAGAGAACATGCGTAAGCGTGCACATCAGGGACGGGCAGAGAGAATCTTAAGCAGGCTCTGTGCTCAGCATGGAGCCTGAGGCGGGGATGAATCTCATGACCCTGAGATCCTGACCTGAGCCGAAAGCGAGAGTCGGATGATTAGCTGACTGAGCCCCCACCCGGGCACCCTGTGCGACCCCATGTATATGAAATGCTCAGAACAGGCAAATCTGTAGAGATGGAGGATAGACTAGTGGTTTCCCAGGGCTGGAGGAGGGGCTGGGGAGGGGAGATGGAGGTCCCGGGCTGTTTTGGGAGGAGGGGTTAAAAATGCCCCAGAGTGGACTGGGAGGGTGGTTGGATGGCTGTGTGAATGGCGTGCCGATTATAGCTCAGTAAGCCTGTTCAAAACAACAGGGCGCCTGGGCGGCTCAGTCGGTTAAGCGTCTGACTGCAGCTCAGACCATGATCTCACGGTTCATGGGTTTGAGCCCTGCATCGGGCTCTGTGCTGACGGCTCAGAGCCTGGAGCCTGCTTCACATTCTGTGTCTCCCTCTCTCTCTGCTCCTCCCCTGTCCTCTCTCTCAAGAGATTAAAATTAAACAACAGTAGCCAACAGATAAACGTGGTGATTTGGGCCCCAGAGTGATAGATACGAGCTCCAGAGCAGGGCTTCTCAATTTCAGCGCCCGGTTGACCTTCGGGACTGGGTATTTGTGTTGTGGGGGGCCCTCCTGCGCACTGTAGGATGCTTAGCAGCACCCCTAGCCTCTGCCCACCAGATGCCAGCAGCACCCCTTTTCCAGTTTCAGCCAAAAGTGTCTCCGGACCTTGCCAGATGTCTCCTTGAAGGCAGAATTACCGTGAGTGGGGAACCACTGCCCCCAGCTCTCTGCCAAGTGACAGCTTCACAGAGAGACCGGTGACAGGCACACCCGGGAAGGCTCAGGACGATGGAGGGATCCAGGGAGGAGGGGCCTAGAGCCATAGCGCAGTAGCTCCCAGACCGGAAAGGAGTGGCACATCTGACGGGGCACTTGGGAAAACCAGGACCTGTATAGAGATGAATAATCACGGATGTGAATGAAACATAACGTGGCACTTGATTCCAGAAAAGACAAAAGTTGTTCCAGGCAGGAAGTGGACTCCTCGTCCCCTGCGTGGCTCTCCAGTGAGCGGTCCTGATGATGTCACCACCTGTTGTTGATGCCTGGGGGGGAGAGGGAGAGGGGAAGGGGTGCACAGGGCTCCTCACAGGAGGCTACCACACGTCGCAGTATTAAAGATGGCTCCACTTCAGACTAGAAGACCTTGCAGATTGAAGGGGAGCGGGCGGGGGGCTGGGGGGGGTGGTAACTATCCACAGAAACAACTAAAAAGTTAATACCCGCCTTCTCTGGAGATCAAGTAGCGGTGAGGGAGGCTGGATCAGAGCAGCTGTATCTTATTATCAGCTTATCAGCACCATTGAACTTTCATTTTTATTTTATGTTTTTGAGAGAGAGAGAGTGGGCACAAGTGAGTGACAGGTAGAGAGAGAGAAAGAATCCCATGAGGGGCAGAGAGGGAGAGAGGGAGAAGCGGGGCTCGAGTTCACCTGATGTCAGGCCCCAACTCACGAACTGTGTGATCATGACCTTAGCCCAAGCCAGAGGCTTAACGACCAAGCCACCCAAGCTGTCCGTCCCCAATACCATTGAACTTTTAAATCCATCTGCATGTATTTTGTAAACTAAAGGCTTAAGATGTGAAGTACGTCAACTAACTTGCAAAAGAAACATTCCCACAGCATCTTTTTATTAAATGGGGAAAAGGTTGCAAAACATTGTGAATAAATATTCTAGGTGCCAGCTGGGTGGTGGGTTCATAGGCATTTATCATATTAGTAGGCTTTACAAGGTATATTTGCTATAATCATGAAATATCTTGTGGAAGTATAATACGGAATAATTGTTAAAAATTATATAGAGGAAACAGTTGATCCTTTTTTTTTTTTAAAGCACGTATATGGCTTGACAGATAGACGTATTAACACCCGCCTTTTAGAGGGGATGTTAGGGACACATAGACCTGTGGAAATCAGACTGTAGGGTGAAGTGTGCCCATATGTGCTGTGTGCGTGGGGGACTACGGGAGACCTTTACGTCTTTTTGCTTCTATTTTCTCCTTTAATTTCCGGTCTCCTGAGATGACCGTCTATCCATTGAGTCATAATCATGGCACAGACAAAACGTCTCCCCCAGCTACATTGCCCTTGGCACCTGACACCACGTTGGGGGGAGCGAAAGTGTGCCCGCTGGCCATTTGAGGGGTCCCCGCCTTGGCAAGTGTGAGACTGACAGCCCAGAGGCCCAAGCAGCCTGCTTGCTGCTCCGCTGGCAGGAGACAGGCCTCCGGGGCTGGGGGCCAGAGTGCCACCTCCCCACGCGGTGCCCTCGTGTAGTCAGGGCCAGGGGGTTGGGGGTGGCTGCCGAGACCTGCTTCTGTCTGGAACCCCCGGGAACATTTTCGTTACTGAGGATTCGCTGCCGCATCAGCACCGCCTATCTTGGGGGGCGGGGGGCCTTGCCACCTTGCATGGTGGCTGCTCTGGGGAATGGCTTGCCAGGGGAGCTGGTTTTCACTTTGTTTACCTGTTTTGTTTTGGGCGGCGGTGGTGGGTGAGTTGTAGTGAGGCCCCAGAGGATGGGGGTCCCAGGAGTCCCCTAAAGTCGACTGCGGTGTACCTGCCCGTTCCCCGTGGTACACACCACTGGTGGGGCCGCTGGATGTGGTTCTTGAGCCTTTGTTCATTGTATGAACGTTTGTGTGTGAACGCAGCCCTCCCAGTGACCCCCCAGGGCTCTGTGCTTCGGCTTCCGGGCTAAGGCCGTCGTCTTTCCCGGCAGGCACCGGAATCGGGGCAAACTGAGCGACCTGGTGGCTGAGCACCTGGACCACCTGCACTATCTCAATGACATCCTGATCATCAACTGCGAGTTCCTCAACGACGTGCTCACAGACCACCTGCTGAACAGGCTCTTCCTGCCCCTCTACGTGTACTCGCTGGAGAACCAGGACAAGGTGGGTCTGGAGGCCTGGCCCCGCCGTGCCTGCGGGCGGCACGCTGTCTTCAGAAGGGGGAAGAACACGGTCACCTTGAGTAGGACCGAGCTCTGCCAGCCACCTAGGCTTTGTGCCCAAGAGAGACTCCTTTCAAAGCACAGTGGCTTTCTTTTCCTTTCCCTTTATTTCCTGGGGGGTGGGCGGGATAAGGTGGAGAGAGAGAGTGGGAGGGAGTGTGTTGAGGGGGAGGTTGGCTATAAAAGTGAATGAGAACACTGACATCAGAAGGAGACGGGAAACCTTTGTGAATTTAGGTTTTTGGTGTGTGTTCATCCTTCTCTTGGGGTGTTCTCGTGCCCAGAAACTTTCTGACAGTCGCCAGAGCCCACTGACCCGCCCAGGGTCCAGCCAGCCACGGCACTGGCACACGTAGGGTGGGAGGCGATGGGGCGCGCTGAGGGAGAGGCGCCAGAGCAGGGACTGCCCCCAGTTAGGCTCCAAGTCCATCGGCGGCCCGCATCTGTAACCTGTGTCCCAGGGGGCTCGGAGCTGGTGCGTCTCAGGTCCCGCCACGAGGAGTTCCGCCCGGTCCTTCCCAGGGTTGAGCGGCCGAGGCCTCAGCGGAAGGCAGGACGGAGCCCGTTGGTTCCTCCGCAGAGACTCCAGCCTCCGCACATGTGCCTCAAGCGGTTGGAGCTTTCGTTTTGGAGATGGAACGTGGAGATTCTTGCCAAAAACAAATAAATAAAAAGTTGCAGCCCAAACCAGAATTATCACAGGCAGCTCTGGGAGGTAGAGAGAGAGCATGGGACTTGGGGGTTTTCAGACCTGGGTTCAAATTCTGCTGCTTCCCTTCCCTCCCTCTGTGACCTTGGACAAGGCAGCTCACTCCCCCCTGGCCCCCGCAGTGAAACGAGGGTCCTGAAGGTACTCATAGGGCTGATGCAGGATGGAGCCCATGGAAGTTCAGTTACAAATGAGGGGTTTTTCCGAAGCCAGGGCGCCCCAGCCCCTCCCTGCCCCATCTCGAAAGCTCTTCCTGAGAGCAGGCGTCCAGAGGCCCCTCCTGCCAGGCTCTGTGGCCCAGCTGGGGGAAATTAACATTCCTGGTAATTTTAGGAGCTGCTTTTTCTCCTGGACCCAGCCTCTAATCCGTGACTAATGGTGAAGGACTGCTCAGGTAGAAAAATAGAGGCCTTGAGAACGGTATTGGACGGGATTAGGTTGTGAATTTATTTTGCAGAGTGGAGTTTTGACTAGTACTGGGAAAGAACAGCCTTAGGGTCACAGAGGAAGTGGGGGACGGGGTGCCTCGCCTTCAGACAGATGGCTTTAGGCTTCATGTCTTTTGTGCTGCTCGCATGCCTGACCAGGACCCTTTTCTCTCTGTCTTTACCCCGACCCTCCCTAGGGAGGAGAACGCCCGAAGATCAGCTTGCCGGTTTCTCTCTATCTCCTGTCACAGGTATGTGTCATTGTTTGTCTGCGTCCCCAACCACATTTGGGGGTCGTTTGGGGGAACCGGGCCACATCACCCTATCTTCTCTCTGTGTCCCCTGTCTTGAAATAAAACAGTAAAAGGAACAGGGTTTCTATTTTCCAGACACTGAGTAGAGGTGCTGGTATCTTCTTCGTGGTAATGGATGGAAATTTAAAGAGAATTGAAAAGTAAATCAAACCTGGCCCTCCTGTACTTGGTTTTTACCGTGGGGACTGAGGTTTTCAAACATCCAAGAAGCGTTCTGAATACTCTGGAAACGTGGACGGTCCAGGTCCTACTCGTGACATTTTGAAATAAGCCCCAGACTGCAGGACCCAGTGTGTGTATCTCTCCGCAGCAACCTCCGCTGAACAAGTTCCCACTAATGAGGCTGTTTTCAAAGACTTGTGTCGTGGTTGACGTTCCCCGATTACCTTCTGGAAGGTATCTTGTAGCAGCCTCAGTTCCCAGATTTGTGTCTTGAGCCAATTTGTCTGCCTCCCCCTCCTTAAACAAGTGTGTTTCCTTCTCATCATTATGTAATATTTACAAGAAGGGAAAAACTCCATGGCGACCCAGTTACATAACTTTAAAAATATTTTTATTACAAGCAGTCCAGACTTGGAGGCCACCTCAGTAGACTGTCAAGCAGTCAAACGTTTGACCAGAGCTCTGTTCCCACTTCTGTGGTGGCACAGGTATTTATTTGCTTGGCTGAGAGAAAGCCCAAACGTGGGCCATTTGGAGATGGAGGTGGGGGCTGAGAAGAGAGAGAGAGAGACGCAGCCCCGGCCTCCCCGTGGAGGCTAAGCCAGTCGGGGTGTGCGCGTGGCCTGTGCCTTTCTCCCTCTCCGGGTGCCCCTGCACTGGTGCCCCCTCCTCCCGAATGCCCCCCTGTGCAGCGCAGCCCCGCGCAAACCCCAGCCCCTCCTGGCGCCTCCTCTGTCGCCTTGTTACCAATCTGCCCGCATCGCCCGCCTGGGATCCTCTGGGCCCGGCCGGACCTGAGCATGAGAGTTTCTGTGTTTCCGTCACAGGCATCCCACGGAAAGCGCTCCCAGAGGCCCCTGGCTGTGGGAGCACCGCGCGGGCCAAGTCCCTCTGAGGAGCGTGGGGTCGGGGCACGCCCCTTCTCAGACAACCCCTTGTCTCCTCTTTTCTTAGCAAAGGACCAGGCGTTGCAGCCCTACATTGTTGGAGCAGCTCACAGAAAGCAGGCTGGGGAGTTGGTGCTTCTCAGGGCTGTCCGCGCCACTCCCCCGCCCCGTGTCGTCTTCCATTTGCTTTTTCACGTTGTCGCCTCCAATAGGGTAAATCCCCTGTCCCCGATCCCTACATCCGAGCATCCTTACACACGACTTGAGAAGCGCAGCTGCAAAACCAAAGAATTCCCACTGACAACGTTCACTTAGTGCAGCCGGGAACGCCATCCTTCAAGAAGTCTCCCTCTTACCTCTTACCCCTAGCCCCTGTCCTTCTCCCCAGGCTCAGCAGCCTTTCAGTGTCTGGCTTTGCTCTTTTTTTTAAACAATGTTTCTTTTTTATTTTTTACTTTTTAAAAAAATGTTTACTTTGGGAGAGGGAGAGAGCACATGAGCATGTGTGTGCAAGTGGGGGAGGGGCAGAGAGAGAGAGGGGGAGAGAGAGAATTCCAAGCAGGCTGCCTTCTGTCGGCACAGAGTCAGACTCAGGGCTCGATCTCCCGAACCACGAGACCATGACCTGAGCTGAGATCAAGAGTCACACGCTTAACCGACTGAGCCACCCAGGTGCCCCTAAACAGTGTTTTTTTTTTTTTTTTCATTTCAACATTTTTTTTTTTAATTTAAAAAGTTCAAAACAGGTGAAAACCAAGTTTTCTTTCTACTTTTGTTTCTTCTCCTGATTTCTGTCCCCAGAGACAACTCTAGTTACAGGGTTTTCTTACGCCTTTCCAGACACATTGTCTGCAGGGGTTTTCAGCTGGGGGTGATTTGGCCTCCCTTCCCCCCCTCCAACATCTGGAGACATTTCTGGCTGGGTGGAGGCCAGAGATGCTGCCAGACGTCGTACAGCGCACACGACAGCCCCCTGCGGCAGAGAATTATGGCCGGAGAGTAGCGCCAGGGTTTAGGAATCCTGGTCCGTGCGTGTCAGCAAATGCAGGTGTGCACACATGTCCTTTTTCAGTACACATGGTGGTGTGTCCCAGGATGTGCCCCCCGCCTCTGGTGCTGCCTTTCTGTCGTCAAACAAAGCAGCAGGTGTGTCCGAAACAGCTTTGCAAGGCCACTTTGGACACCCTGATTCCCAGCACCACTCTCCTGAACATTGGGCAACGGAGGCGGTGGGGGGGGGGGCACAGGGCCATCCCAAGCAGCCCTGGGCCTTGTGACTTTGTATCCTGGCACAGCTCCCTCTGTCTCTGGCTCGTGTGGCTTTTCTTCCCTATCGACACTGCCACGGGATGTTGGCGCGCTGAGACCCACCGCAGGGGCCCCGAGCTCGCTGTGGCAGTGGGCTCTCTCTGGGGCCGACCGTTTGCCAAGACCTCGACTGGAAGGAGACTCGCCAGGCCCTTCTTCCCGTGTAACTGAGAGACTGGGCCTGTGCCTTCCAGTCTTCGCGTAATCAGATTTGACGCTGAAACGCCTGCGGAGAGGAAGGAGTGTGCTGGTTTGGCCTCTTTGCTCCACTTGAGCCGGATTTGGCTTCCCCCGGCCATGAGGGACAGTCTTGCTTTAATGCACTTCCTTCCGCTGGGGAGCAGCCAGCCAAATAGGCAATAGCCTGAATGAAGGAGCGTCCAACCCTGGAAGGAGAAAGGCGTAACCGGTTTCTCCTAAATGGGACCCATTCTTTGGATTTTGCTTCACAGGGATCGCTGCTTAATATGGGACCTGGGTAGCCCAGCTGAGTTGTTTCTGACTGAGGGAGGAGGAGGCGGAGAGATCGCATGCTTTAACGCAGATCTGGTATCTTCTTTCTCACCAGGTCTTCTTAATTATACATCACACGCCCCTGGTGAACTCGCTGGCGGAAGTCATTCTGAATGGTGATCTGTCTGAGATGTACGCCAAGAGCGAACAGGATGTTCAGCGAAGCTGTGTAAGTCCTTAGCATCGGGACCGTGTGTAGACACTGGTAGGCCATTGCCCATTTTGTTGATGCGCATGTTTCTCTAAAACCAGAAACGGACATTCTGCCTGTACGGCAGCCACGATGGTGCATAAGCTGGTCTGGGATGCGAGGAACCTCGCCAGGGTCTTGACATGTGTCCCCGGGAGAATGTGGGTTTGATTGATGGGATGTTATCGAACAGGCAGTTGTACTGCTCTGGGCCCAGGTGCATCTCTGTGAGACACTGTTACTGGGACGGAACGAGAGGCACACACATCTGCAGAGACTGGACGGAGAACATCTGCGGATGACACGGACCCCGTGAGAGGGCAGTAGGGAGTGGTGGGGACTGAGGCAAATTGGAGAGCCTATGCTCTTTGTCAGCAGCTGCTGTTCCCGCCCAGCCAGCGGCTCTGCCGGAACATGGACACAGGACCACCTGGTTTCCTCGTGTTGCCGGACAAGCCGGGAATCCGCGTTTTGATGCACACGCTCCCCAGTTCTAAATGATCACCCAGTTGTGGCAGCAGGCAGAGCACATCTGCGTGCGAGTGTGCATTTTGTGCTCTGCTAATGGAAAACTCCCGAGACGGGGGACGGGAGTCCAGACTTCTTCCAAGGCTCTCCCGGCGCGGCCCCTGTGTATCTCATCCATCTTCCCTCCTACCATCCTGCTCATGCGTACAGAGTGCCAGGCTTCCTTAGTACTGGCCCAGCTTGCCTTTTCCCCAGCACGCCCTGCGGTTCTGCCCGTGGACCTGCACCTTTACCATACCTGCGGCTGGGGAGGCCCTGGCTCCTCGTCCCCAGCCACGGCAGGCGTCTTGTCTCGCGGCGTCTGCTGCAGCTTGGGCTCGGCGCATGTGTCTGAGATGAGCCACTGTTCCACACAGAGGCTGTTTCACGAAGGCTCTGTCTCTGCAACTGGTTTCTCAGGCAGTGGGTACAAAGGAACCAGGGCTAGGCCTGCCCCGGGGCAGTCGGCTCTGTCGCCAGGCGAGTCTCAGGAAGCGGGTGGCGGGGATCTGGAAGCACGAGAGGCCAGACTGCCTGGAGCGCGGGGACGGGAGTCCCTGCGCTGCCGGTTTTTCTGGTGTGCGCTGGCTTGGCCGGGCCATCTTACTGTTCAAGGGAGTCCTAGAGCCTTTGAAAAGGTTCCCAGATACTTTGTGTCCTTGGTGGCGGTGGCATTAGTTCAGCTGAATTGAATGGGGCCCTTTCATGGCCCCTGTCTGTTCTACCCCTTCTTTGATTCATTCACCAAGTATGTATTCAGCCCTCCCTTTGGACCAGGCATCGTGCTGGCCCTGGGGATGTACAAAATCCTAATAGTTTCTGTCATTTTGGACCTTTATAGTCTAGTAGAAGAGATAGATGTCGATCACATAAATATACAAACAAATGCACTATTTCAAGTCTTACACGTGTTCCAAAGGGAAGGAGTAGTTTCTGGCAAGTGGGTGTAACCTAGGGGGACAGGAGTGACCAGTGTTGAACTGGAAAGCCTCCCTTCGGGGCCTGTGCACAGCACTGTAGACAGGAAACCGTGGAGCCGGTGTTCACGGAGCCGGAGGTCTTTCTTTGCAGTTTTCTTAAACTCCCTGTTGCTGACCGAATGTGGGGAGTAGAGTGCCGACCCAGCAGAATTGCAGGGCCTCGAGGGCAGAGCTGCCGAGGACCCGCCAGCCAGTGGCCCCTCGGGTGTGTTGTCCCCCCCCCCCCCCATTTAGGAAACGGGGAGAGCGCGTCCTACTCCGGGGCTCTTGGTGCGGAAGGAAGGAAGTACATCAGAGCCTCCATCAAGTACCTGACAGGTTGCAGTCTGGCCCTCAGAGCGTCTGGTGTGGTCTTTGCAGCATTTACAAGAACACCTTGTGAATGACCAACTTTAACATTTAGGAAGTTTCACACAAGAAAATCCGCACTTCGGGATTGTGTTGCAGCCACCAGGAGGTCTGGTCCCCGTGACGCACGTGTTTCTGCAGCGAACTTCTCCGAGGCGTCCCCCCTCTTCCCGGTCAGAGGAGCGTGTGTTTGCCAGCAGAGCTGCCCGGCCCCCACCCAGCCTGATGTATTGAGTCTCTTTGGGCTGCCTTTTGTCGCATGGTCTCCAGGTCCCAAGTCTTCCTGTAAGACAGTCAGCACCGAAGCTGGGCTTGGCGTTCCAGGAGACGGACACAGAGGTCTTCGCGGTGCTAGGGTTTGCAGGTTTCCTCGCTGCAGTTGATTGGCATGCAGCCGTGAGAAATAATCATACCCTTTTGCTGGCTGTGCCCCGCGGTCACGTCTTGCAGAGCTCTAGCACGCTGTCACAGCAGGGTCTTGGCATCAACGCTTGGGGTTTGCAATTTGAGCAGAAGCAAATTGCAGAAAGTTACCAGCAGCCACTCAGCCTGGGATGCCCACGGCGGGCCGACCCTCTCATGAACGGGAGCCTTCCGGAGAGCTGTCCTTTCTCCCGCCGGCCTCCTTTAGGGATGAAGTTCCTGCCTCCGTGGTGACAGGCACACAGCGGCTCGTCGTGGTGGTGGGCGTCTGAATGGAACATGAGAGTCCTGTGAGCGTGGAAGGAATGGCCGGCCCCAAGGAAGTGTCTGCCTTCTGCTTCCGGGTATCGCCTTTCCCGGGTGCAGAATCGAACTGTGTTGCGCTCCTATGACGGCACTTGAAGGCTGGGCAGAGAGGAGGCAATCCCATGGGTGACTCTCTTGACAGTAGTCCCGGTGCGCTTCACCTTCCTTCCCTCTGAGCAACAACGGTCTCCTATTGTTTCCTGCCTCACTCGGATGTGGTTTGATCATGCCTGTTTTAAGTTTCTTGGTCTTTTTTAACCTACTTTCTCCTTCCCGTAATTTGTAGATAAGTTACTGGTATTGCTTCATTTTTACCAGCAGACCTTTCACAAAACCAAACCAAAATTGAAGAGAGAGAGGCAGAGGCAAGAGCAGAGTTATTCGAAAAGTCTGTAATTTAGGGTTAAATTTAAAACCCATCAGCATGGTTAGGTGAATGTCGGATTGAAATTCGCCTGTGCATTAAAATCATATGATTCTTGCTCGGGGATAGCTCTTGCTACAGTTCTGATGCAGAGCCGATCAGGTTTCTTGTTGAGGGAGATGGAGTAAGAGAACACTAATTCTGAAACTGCTAGCATCTCATTCTTTTTTGCACAGCGAACATATAGATTAGATTCTGGGATATGCATCATTACCTATGGGTACTTTTTCTTCTTCTTTTTTTTTAAAGGACATTTCTTCATCCTCTGTTTCTGTAGAATAGTTTCCTTCCTTTTACGCCCCTTCAGGGATGAGGGGGCGCACCGGAGAGAGCCCTGGCCGCCCCAGGCTCCCCATGCCCTGTGAGCTGAAGTGGGAAGGCCGTGTTGGAGATATTGGTGTCCCCGTGCTGTTATGGGCTCGTGACCCCTGCCAGGGGGCTCTCACCACAGGAACGAGCGACTCGATGGGCAAACTGGGGGTGGGGTCACGGGGCCCTCGTGACGTTGTTCTCGATAACTCTCAAAACAGAAACGGCTTCAGGGCTGCCCCTCACGCGCCACCTTCCTTCCCTGTGCTCAGAGGCAGGCTTTGGGGGAAGAGCGTCTAGCGAGGTGGTCTCGGCGCTTGTCTGTATTCCACCCTCAGGGACAGTCTCCTGGAGCGGCCTCTGGAGTCAGACTGCCTGCCCCCCCCCCCCCGAGATCCTGGCTCTCGGCTCTTGCTAGGTGTGCCCCAGGGCCAGTTAGTCCCCACACCAGGCCTCGGTTTCCTCCATCTTCTAGGTAGAATAACGCACATGAGTTGGCAGAGAGGATTAATGCCATGTCCGTGGCTTCTCCTGAAGCCTAGCGCACCTCAGGGCCTGGTGTCAGGCGGCAGCGTTGCTTCCTGATGCCGCACGACAGCCCCGCGTCCTCGGGTGTGGCCTTCCTTGTTGGGGTGACCGATGCGGAGGCCCCCACCTAGAGGCCCCTTAGGCAGGCGCCCTGTGACCAGACCCAGAGGCACCGAGGGCCGGGCGTCTGCAGCACTGATGACAGTGACAGCACGGATAGTAAGCGTTGCCATTTGGCGGCGGTGGGCCAAGCCGTGTGTGCATCCAGGCCCTCCAGCTCGCGTCGGCCCCAGATTCAAGCTCTGGAAAGTGCACACACCTAGCCAGCTCATGTGTGTCAGTGTCCTTGGCTGACCATGAATTCAGAGTGCGGGCTGAGAATCCTGGGGCAGAACAGCGTGTCCCCACGTGACGGTGTAGCCTCTGTAGACACCAGTTCAGCCGGGTGCAGTGGTCTCCAGATGATTCTCCAGGGATCCCGAAGAATGAGTGAGTGCACACCTGGAACGTCAGCCCTCAGAGCTCCACAGGACGCCCGTCCTTCCGGGAGCTGGCCCCCCCGCTGGCAGAACACTCCGTGCGCGTGTGCATGTGGGGTGACACCAGCAGCCTGGCTGCCCTGGCCTCTGTGTTTGCAGAAGCAGAGCACTGACGACCGACCAGGGCGCCCTGGTTCAAGCCAGGCTGGGCTCAGATGGCAGCCGCGCCTCCTGTGTGTCTACTGCATCACGCGGAGGAGCACCCCCTGCGGACCGAATTAGAGTTCCCCTGAATCTCTCAGTGACCCTGACCTTACCCGTGACCCCTGGTTAATCATTGCTGGTTCTGAAGCACACACATTCTTCCTGAAAGTCGTAAGAGGCTTCTGGGAGAGGGTTGATGGCGAACGCCAAAGGAAAACATAAACTGCTCTAAATCGGGCTAATCGGCACAGGTCCAAACATTCCCACAGAAGAATTAGAACTCATCGTGCATCGTCCCTCTCGTGCGGGGCCGCTGTGGTGTGCCCCGCGATCCCTGAGTGGAATCCTGGCTCCCAGTCGCCAGGGTTGCCTGCGCAAGTACCGAGTGTGGCAGTGCTGATTCAGGCGTAAGAGGAGGTGGCAGCAGGAGAGAATCCAGGGGGCCACACAGCCCATTTCCAAGTAGGACGT